CTCCAGAATGTGCTCTGGAGTCGAGGCCCACTCCTGAGGGCCTGCTCCAGCAGTGACTGCGACAGTAAATTCCCTGCATGCCTGGTGAGTGGGTGCCCTGCTGGCTCTTCAAGAGATCTTCTTTAGCTTTTCCTCATTGCTTCAGTTCCAACCCTGACTCTGCCACTCACTCACTAATAATACAGAACAAGTCACAGCTGTGATCCCACAGATCCGAAAGTCATACATATGAAGGGTATTATGAAGGAAATGAGGAGGTAGAGTGTTTGCTGGGACCTGGCATGGGGTTGAAAAGGGAGGAGGACATCATAGGAGCTACAGTGAGGTGATACCCTATTATGGGACAAATCATGAAAAATATGGGTTTTCTTATTCCGGGGAGGGGAGGGGCTTCTATTGACCTATATTAAAATGGGCTTGTAAGTGTGGGTCCATGTTATTAAAGGGTGACAAAGAAGTCTAGATACAAGATGAATCGAGTGTGTGTGCTGGAGGGAACACACAGACAGGTGACCTGCAATCACCCTTTGTGTGGCAGGCCAGGGCAGCAGGCAAGTACATACAGCTTTAGTTGGTGGGACCCTGCAGGGACTAGAGAGGCTGAATATCCAGACACTTATTTCCTTGGATAAAAGGAAGGAGAACTTCACATAGACATGGAACAACATTTCCTAGGTGTGGTGTCTACAGCTATCCCTAGCACACTAATACTAACTAATGAAGAACACAGGAAACTGGACAGCCAACATTTTAAGGGGCGGGGGATGGCTCAGTTGGGGAAGTGCTTGTCACACAACTGTGGGGACCTAAGCTCCTCCCCCCAGCATCCCTGGAAAGAAATTTAGAGCTACCAAACTCAGCTCTTCATGTTTGCATGACAAGCACCACACTATCTCCTCAGCTTTGTTCACCTTGGTTTTTAATCACCTGAAGCTCACCAACTAGAGCAGATGGGCTGGGCAGCAAACTCTAGAGATCCTCCTGTTTCCACCTCCTCCCTGGTGCTGGGTTTGGATTACAGCTGTATGCCGCCACACCCAGCTTTTTGGGTGCTGAGGACAGAACCATGAACACTTCATGCTTGCATGGCAAGCACTTTACCAACTGAGCCATGTTTTGTTTTTTAATGGCTAATCAAATGTGAGTAGTCTGAGAATGTGAAATCTCCCAGCAAGCCCTAGGAGAGTGAGAGGCAGGAGCATCCCAAGTGCTTACTACTGTTCCCCAGCAAAGATGATGCTGTGTGGTTAGCAGGTGGTACCCATTCAAATAGAGAAGACGAAAAGGACTTTTGCTGGAAGTTGGGGGACTTGAGAGGACTGAGCTGAGGCCCCAGACCTACTTTTCTATAACTGGGGTTCCTCTCTGGAAAGCTTCTGCGTGCTCTACTATGAATGAGAGTGCAAAGTTGTGGAAAGTACTGCATAGTGCCCAGGATAACACAGCAAGATGCAGAAATAAAGGCTCTCGGTGTACAAATATAAAGCCTCCCTGAGATTTTCAAGTATTTTCTCAAGCACTTTTCACAGTGTCTTCCTTTTTATTTTTACAACATTTTAAAATTTTGGGAGTGGGGTGTATACAACTCTGTGTGTGTGTGTGTGTGTGTGTGTGTGTGTAGGTCAGAGGACAACCTGTAGGACTTGGTTCTCTCTTTCCACCACATGGATCCTGGGGATAAAACTCAGATTGGTAGTCTGGGCAGCAAGCATCATTACCCACTGAGAAGTCTTGCCAGCCCAGCGTGGCTTCTGTGATTTGGTAGACAGTACATTGTTTGGCTAGACAGAGATACTGGAGAGTGGAGGGCCCTCCAGTGCATCACAGTACATGCAAATCTTGGCCTCTAAAATTCTGAAGCAAACATCACAGCAGAGCCCTCAACTGTGCAACACCCTCTGCACCAGCTGCCTGGGGCTCTATCCAGATGTGTGTATAAAGCTTACACTTTGACTTAAGTAAAACAAATAATTCCTTTTGCCTTTGTAAATCTGAGAGAATTTCCCATGCTGTTGAGAGAAGGAAACAAGCCACAAAGAGAATCCCAAATGGTTGCTTCCTGCTCCAAACCTTGGCTGAGCACTTTGGTAGCCCCAAAGGGAAGAGACCCTGAGCAGATAATGCTTCAATTTAGTGAGACAGAAACCCAGCTTCCTTTGATCCTGAGGTCGGTCAGAAGACTTCAAGGGAGGGGCTTGAACAGCAACTCTTCAGTGCCTTCTGGACCACAACTGACACTCAGCTCAGACCGGAGGAAATGTGAGTGGGGACTGCATGATGTCACTGTGAGGACCAAATGGGAAGGGGCAACAAGAATGGGAGGCTCCAGGGTGCACACGGGAAGAAGACAGTTTGTCTAGTGCTGAAAACCCAGCCATGGGTAACATCACAGCAGACAGACCAATGTCTCATATTACAAATAGATCCTAATGAAAGAATTTTGTTTTGTGTTTTTTTGAAACAGGGTCTATATAGCCCTAACTGGACTGCCACTCACTATATAAACCAAACTGGCCTTGAACTCACAGAAATCCTCCTGCCTCTGTTTCCCAAGTGCTGATTAAAGGCATGCGCCATCACACCTGGTTCTAATGCAGTTTTTAGAGAAATAATTGTGACTGTTAATGGTAGGCAGAAAACATTAAAATCCAACCTATTCATGTCTACTGCACAATTCCGTGTCCTGACAAAGTGAAGACTGAAAAGTCTACATGACCCTCCACCTCATGTGCTGCAGGTTCCAACAAACCTACGTCATCAAAATGGGGCTTTCACTCCAGTCACTACACACAGCAAGTTGCCTTGTCGTGTAAAACAAGTGAAAGATTCGTTTGGATACCCGTCAGGCTGGGTTCTCAGTAAGGGCTGCACAGTAAGACCCTGTCTCAAGTAAATTAGTAAAAATAAGATCAGTTTCCACAATGACCTAGATTTAACTCAATTCCAATGACAATCACAAGACATAGATAAAATGTAAAGAAAAGCAAGAGGACTGTGATAATTGAAATAAGATCCCTATAAAGTTATAGTAGTCAAGGCACTTAACTGTACTGATGAATGGTGTCTATGTCTCCATAGATGAAGGGGATAGAACAAAGAGAACAGAAAAAGACTAGCACGAACTTGGCTAACTGGCTCACAAATATGCATTGGAGGCCCAGTTTCAGGAGACCTGATACAGGCATACATGTAGTTGCCTATACGTAAGTGCAGGCAAAACAGTCACACATAAGATTAAAAAAAAATTTTTTTAAGTTTTTAAAATCTGGGCATAGTAGTACACACTTTTAATCACAGGACTCTGGAACAGCAGCAGGTAGATCTCTGTGGGTTCTAAATCAGCCTGATCTACATAGCAAATCCCAATACAATCAGGGCTACATAGAGAGACCCTGTCTCAAAAAAAGAAAAGAAAAAGGAATACCTCAAAACAAGTAAACAAAGGCCTACAGTAGATCTGTGCCATACTGATACTGTCTAACTGGAAGAAAACAGGGACCTGATCAAGACCCCTAAAGAATTAAAAAGAGCCAGTAAAGCAGACAATCTGTTTATATGTGGGGACTTGGTAGATGGGGACGGGATGGCAGTGATAGATTTATAGATACATGTTTTGCCTGTAGCTTATACCTTCTTCCCAAGGCAGCACAGACATGGGATTTCTCTTCAAGTCTGGTCAGGGAAGCTAATCCCCAACCCACCCTACCACCCAGAGCTGGCCATGGAGAAATCCTGTTACTGGCCTTGTCTGTGAGTAATAATTAAACAGGAAGGAATTATGCATGGAGAGGCCATGAACAATTGGGCCAGACAGGCCTGGCTGGGTTTCCCCACTCAGTCTGTCGGTATCAGATCAGAGCCTCTCCCTCCAGTCACACTACATGGCTGTCTGTGCTGCATACAGCCATCCACTAATGAAGTCTCCAGGAAAACCTAAAAGAACAGGGTTCAGAAAACTCAATATGAGGGGCAATGAACCCAGGGAAAGGCACAAAGGCTTAGCACCCCTCCTCTACTCCCCCAAGCTCTGTGGGCCACTTAAGGAAAGGCTCCGGGAATGCTGTACCAGCATCAGGAGCAACAGTGAAGCTTCCTGAGGCTT